GCTAAGAACACAATGTTTTGCATGAAAAACAGGAAAGCAATTACTGTAAATAAAATCATCCTGAAAATAAGTGTATTACGAATGTTATTATTTTGGATTACAACCACCCTTTATTTTGCCCTTATGACACCTATCAGTCCATACTGAAGCTTTCTCAGTTTCTCTCCCTCTTCTTCTCCCTCTTAAAAGTCCTCTGTGTTTTTACCCCCAACCTCCCTGCAGGTTTTCTTCATTGGAGCAGATCATCCTGCTACCATCTCCCTTCATCCTTGCCGTCAGGGTCTTGGGTGAAAATAAGCATATTTAAATACTTAATTTCATTTGGTTTAAGAATATTTACCTGACTCAGAATTAGGTCGCTTAAATGACTAGGTAAATAGAAAGAGTTTCAGGATCCCAGCTTCACACAAGGTATGGAGCATTAAGCTGGAAGGCAGCCAACATTGATTCTGTTCCTGCTTTTTATGGTGACCTTGGGACAAGGGGGTGGAGTGGAGGGGAAGAAGAAAAAGAACTTGATTTTGCTGAGCTTTGGCTTATCCCAGTACAAGAATTAAAAAAAACAAAAAAACAATAGTCACACCCACATCACAGAGTTTGTGAAAGTTAAACAGGAAACGTCTACAAAAATAGAAAACAATGTATTCATTATGAACATAATAGGTATTTTTAGTCAGAATATTTTCATACAAAGGTTTTGGGGCTTAAGTTATACTGAAAGCTGTATTGAGCCAATCATTTCCCAACACCCTCTGAATTAATATAACTTTTTAAGACATCCCATTAAAAACTAGCTAGTGCTAACACACAGGATAAGTTGGTTTAACATATACAAAAACAAAAACACCATAGCAAGTGAAACTGAACCTACAGAAAATCAAGTCACAGAGGACTCAGAGGCACAAAGGACTCAGAAAGTCAGAGGCAATTTTACGTGCAGTAGTCTCCTAGACCAAACATTTCAGCAAATCAGATCATTCCTTTTCATTATCAATCATGTTTTCCTTTCCAGTAAGAGGAAAATGTCCAACCACGGCTCCATCACAGGCTTCGTGGAGCAAAACTTGCTTTCAAGTTTAATCACTTGCTCTGTCCTTCTCTTTGCGCTTGTTCTATTTATTTTTTGTATGCAGACCGCATGCTGAAGGGGAAGCCAATTTTTAAACCTAATCCTTACGGATATCCTCATCCCAGGAACGTTGTGTGATTGCTTCTTTACTCCTTTCCCAAGCTGAGGAAAGGCAGGAACTGGTTAGAGGCAAGAAGGGCCGGGACTGCCCCAGAAGCAAGCCTTCCGAGTCTGGTCCGTTAAAATCAGGTTCTAGAGCCCGTGGATCCATCCATGTTCAAGTCACTCCAAAGCCTCGGGTATGATTTAGGGGTCATCGTCCGCTGCCCAGACCATCACAGAAGAGCCCCAACACTGTCCAGCTGAAGGAAAGGGGCTTGGGAAAGCATATTTGTGATGTTCCCCTAACCAAGCCTGGAGCCGTGAAAGGAGACCAAAGAAAGCATCCATGATCACTTGCAGTTGCTTTATTATAGGACATGCTTTGGAGATGAGATGGTAGGTGTGGGGTGGTTAGGCATAAGTAGAACTCAACTCCAAGGTTGTGTGTGTGTGTGTGTGTGTGTGTGTGTGTGTGTGCGCGCGCACGCATGCGTATGTGCCTGCCTCCTACAAGCCCTAGTGGGAAGGCTTGGGTCCCACCCAACTTTCCTGACACTTCCCATATGCCATCTCCTCCGGGAAACCTTTTTCCTCCAAAGGGTGCTATGCCCCTCCTGCATATGCCACCCAGTGACCAGCACGTAATGTCTACTCCTTTTGCCTAGTTCCCTCCCACCTAATTTGTAGTTGGAATTTATGTAGTAACCATACTTTTAAAAACCTAACTTGTACCTAAAATTTATGTACTGAATTTTTCTGAAATTAGTTATGCCCTTGAACTCTTCAACTTGGCAATTTATGTTACCATCTCAAGAATGGTAAAGATACATGGGTTGTGGGCTTTGGCGTTAAGGTAATGTGGGTTTGGCATCCAGCTCTGGTTCTGATGGCCGTGTGACTTTGAACTGCACATCTCTTGAGGCAGTTTTATCATTTTGGAAATAAAGGCCTACTTCTCTGTGAAGATTAATACGCAAGAGTGCAGAGCACACCACCTGTCCAAACTCATGCTCGGTGTTAGCAGCTGTGGAAGTTCTCAAGAGTAATTTAATTTCATCAAAAGGAGAGATTTAACCAAAAGGAGGTAAAGAATGTCAGTTGTGTCGAAACCGGTTTGGCTCAGTGGTAGACGGTCGGTCTGTGGACTGAAGGGTCCCAGGTTCGATTCCGGTCAAGGGCATGTACGTTGGCTGCAAGTACATCCCCGATAGGGGATGTGCAGGAGGCGGCTGGTCGATGTTTCTCTCTCATCGACCTTTCTGGCTGTCTCTCTCCCTTCCTCTCTGTAAAAAATCAATAAAATATATTTAAAAAAAAATTTTTTTTTTTAAAGTCAGTTGTTTGGGAACGACCCAAAACATATTTTATGATAATATGCAATTTGACCTACATTGAGATTAACCTGCAATTTGTAGTTAACATTTGTATTTTATTACACTGCACATAGTATCAAAACACATCTTAGATGGTTTGAAAATGTATCTGGCCCCTTTAAAATGCTCAATAAAAAATCCCGAGATGTGCCGGCACCGGTTTGGCTCAGTGGTAGAGCATCGGTCTGTGGACTGAAAGGTCCCGGGTTCGATTCCGGTCAAGGGCATGTACCTTGGTTGCGGGCACATCCCCAGTAGGGGGTGTGCAAGAGGCAGCTGGTCGATGATTCTCTCTCATCGACGTTTCTAGCTTTCTATCCCTCTCTCTTCCTCTCTGTGAAAAATCAATAAAAATATATTAAAAAAAAAAAAAAATCCCGAGATGTGAAAAATGAAAAAGAATGTTGGCACCATCTAAGGGAGTATCTTTTATGCCAGGAAATGAACAGAAGAGTAAATGTCTCTGAATAAGATCCCATCTTAATCTCTAGGAGACTGGAAACTTCAGTTCATTCAAATCCCTAAGCATCAAATTTAAAAAGGCTTAGAAAGTACTTTGAAATTATTTACTTACTAGTAAACTGGCTTCTGAGCCAGCAAAAAAAATCCAGTAACCCAATAGTTTAAACCCTTCTTTTCAGGTCCTCAGATAAGAACCAAGATGCGTAGCAGCCGATTGCTGCCAGGTTGAACCTAGGAAGACCCACAGACAATGCTAACAAAGACTATCTCTAACAAACTCTTCAACCCTGGATCACTCAGAATCCCAAGAGGAAATGTGTCCCATTTCCTTGTACTTGCCTTTTTCAGATAAGCTAAAAAGTTCTATAAGCCACATTTTTAAACACAAGGATATTCTTTCAGCATCAGGATCAACTTAGTCTATTTAGCACAATCACATTGCACATTCATTCAATTATACATTTATTAACCTCTACTTGCTCTAAATCAGAAGCCATTCTAAGTGCTGGGATTCCCAAGATGAACAAAACAATGTATTCTTACCCATAAGCAGCTCTCAGTTTAAGTTTTATTTGCAAAAAAAAAAAAAGTATTTTTTTAAAATATATATTTTTATTGATTTCAGATTAGGGAGAGGGAGATAGAAACATCAATAATGAGAATCATTGATTGGCTGCCTCCTGCATGCCCCACACTTGGGATCGAGCCCACAAGCTGGGCATGTAACCCCCTGGTTCACAGTCTGATGCTTAACCACTGAGCAATGCTGGCCGGGCCAAAAAACAAGCCATCATTAACTCACAGTTGTAGTATGCACTGATCCATAGCTGAAACCAAAGGCTAAGGGAGATGGGCTATGGAACAGTACGTGGGAGGTGTGAACGGAGAGGAGACAAGACCACTGAAGAAAGGAAACTGTGGCATAATCCTGGTCTTGGGAGTCAGGGACTCGCTCAGAGTCTAGATCTGCCATTACCAGCAATACAAACAATTTTGTTTTGCAACTAGTGTGTATTTTATATTTTAAAAACCAAAAAATTCTTTCTTTCATAGTGTTTTAAAGATCAAATGAGAGCACTGATGGAAGTATGTAGCCCAGAGCTTGTCAGTGGGAAGATCAAGTAGCATACACGTTTTTAGAAGTGCAGTATTCCCTAATGAATGTTCAATATAATTGTGCTAATACACTTCACATTAATACACTTTATGAATACAACTTTGTTCGTGACCACAATACAGAATGAGAGAAGAGAAGCAGTGGGGTTAGCAAAAAAGTAAAAACTTTCAAATCAGCCAGACATAAAGTTGAAATAGGGTTCCAGCTCTTGACAGCCAACTGTCTTACCTTACAGAAGTTACTTTATCATCATGGATAAAATTGCACAGAGCTGTAAGGATGAACTCTATAAAAAAAGTGTAATATGCAAATCGACCGATGGCCAAACAGCAGAACGACCATCCGGACGTCCTTTCAGACAAAGCCGGGGCTGCGAAGGCCTTCTCTTGCACGAATTCCACGCACGGGGCCTCCAGGATTAGGGATAAAAACCTCAGCACGTGACAGACACTCCTCAGGTATTAACCGCACTCTCTGGGACCCCCAACAAACTCATTCACCCCTGAGCTGGCACTGAGCCCTGGCTCTCCAGATGCAGAGCCAGCACTAGCAGCCGCCCAGGTGAGGGAGGGAGGACACTCTCCTCTCTGCCCCCTGGTGGTGCAGCATGGCTCCCCCGGACAGGGATGGGACAGCAGACGCCGTCCGGGCTGGTGGAGACGACGGCAGTGTCTGAGGCAGAATCTCAATAATGTTTTGGCCCCCAAGCCCCGCAGTAATTTCTCATCAATTCTGTAAGCTATTCATACCCATCCAATAAATTCATTTTTGCCTCAAGTAAACAGTCAGTACCTGCTGCTTATAAACAAGAACCCTAACTAGTATACTTCTGTAAAACTAATAAAAATAAATTACTATCAGTGCCATGAGGTTATTTTTAGTATCTTCTTCTCCATGATTGAATATACAAGGACAACGGAAGTAATGTATTCTTCTGCTGTAAAGATGGGTGGAATATATCAAAATTCACTTTTTGGATTTTCTTTAAATAGTCCTCCAGAGCAACCTGAAAAAAGAGAAAAATGGTCATAGGATGATTAAGTCTTTAAAAATAAACTAAAGAAACATTATCAGTATTAAGGCTATTTTAGTTTCCCTGAGGTGATCTTTAATATACTAAAAATTTAAATAAGAATTTTAAAAGGGAGAGATAAAAATAAAGACATCTTCTAAGAAGTTTCCATTAGACCTAGGATAGAAGATTTACAAGAATAAAAATGAATCTTTAAATATATTTTTGGGGAAAAGGTAGAATATATGTTTGGTATTGTAAAAAATGCATGCGTTTTCAATTTTTAAAGATCTCAAATTTTGAACTTTGGTTTTGACCTATGAAATGAAGTAAACCATGCCTAAGGATTATTAGAATAATGTATGAAATGACCTAATTCAGAGCCTGACCTGTAATAGTTGCTAAAAAAAAAATTAGAAGCTGTTTCAATTTCTTTATATATTTTTCAATAATGATTCCCTAATCTGGCTACAATCAGAAGCATCTGGGGAATTTATTAATTTAAAATCACAGTTTCACCGAAACCGGTTTGGTTCAATAGATAGAGCGTCGGCTTGGGGACTGAAAGGTCCCGGGTTCGATTCCGGTCAAGGACATGTACCTTGGTTGCGGGCACATCCCCAGTAGGGGGTGTGCAAGAGGCAGCTGATCGGTGACTCACTCTCTCATAAATGTTTCTAACTCTATCTCTCTCCCTTCCTCTCTGTACAAAATCAATAAAATATATATTTTTTTAAATAAAAAAATAAATAAAATAAAATAAAATCACAGTTTCTCTTAGGAATCCCCCCTCCTCAATCCAAGTCTTATTTAGAAAGAAGACCCCAGGAATCTATGTTTTCAAAGCTTTCCCAGGTTATTCTGATGTGGCAGCTCAGTACTGGTCCAGAGGCCAATGCTACAATACGGTCCCAGAGGAGAAGATATTACTAGATAATAAGTAATACTTACATAGCTGTAAGTAACCTAACAATCCTACAAGACAGAGTCCTATGTGATTCCCATTTACCCACGAGTATACTGAGGAATGTGATGGTTGGGGACCTTAAACCCCCATGGCTAGTAAAAGGCAAAGCAGATTCAAACTGCTGCTAAAGACAGGCATGGCCACTGCCTAAGGTGGAAGGCAACTAAGAAACCCATCACACGGAAGAGTAACAAAAATAAAGCCTCCAAACTAAAGACATGCATTTGAACCTCAATTAATTTACCATTTGAACAGAAAAAGGTCACACACACCTGCTTCATTCATTAGGCAGCCTTCTCTGTTAATCTACTTACCGTCTGAAGAAAGGCAGGAAATGCCTTCACAGGAACACTTTTGTGGAGGGACCTAGCCTAAGAAGGAAGACAAAAGGAAACTGGTTTGAAATATTATAGAAATATTTCTGGAAATAAACACTCTCCCTCAGAAAGTCAACACTAGCCGTTTAACAGCACGGCGAGGGCCTCTCTCAAAAGCAAGAAAATAGCTCTCACTCCTGCAGTTTACAATTACTTTCTTAAGCCTAAAGCACTCAGGAAAAAGTACTATATTAAAAACTCCATTCCTCCTTACAAGTTGACTTTGGCATTTTCCGGTTGCCTTACAATATCCTGTACCTTTGACCCTCTAGCTCTGTGGTTAGGGGTAAATGAAGACAGACTGGTGTAAACAAGTCCCAGCACCTCCAAGCTCAGATGGTCATATCTCCTGTTTCGTCTGCCTCCGTGTTCCCCAACCTTTCATTCATTCCGCACAGCCAGCCAATTTAATGTTCCTAAGTCGCTGTTTTATTTTTATTTTCTTTGGAGGCCCTGACAGATCAAGTCTCAACTATGCATCTTGGGATTCAGAGACCTCCACACCTTGACTAACCTCATCTGACTCACCTACTTCTCTGGACTAGGAGTCCCCGAAGCTCTCGGGCTGATGCCCACCTGCTCTCACCAAGCCCACCCGTTCCCACGCCTTTTGTGATGCTATCTCTGCTTCCCGATTCACATCTGCACCCCTGCCCCGTTTACCTGTCTACTAAAACTGCTCTCTTCCAAACCACCCACGATTTGCTATTTGCCTACCTCTTTCCTGTTCATCTCCCTGTAGCATGCACATTTTCCTACTCCCCCTTCTTGGAATTTGTTCCTCCCTTGGTTTCTAACACACTGATTCTGTTTTCCTACCTCTTTCATCATTCTTTTCTTCTTCTTCCTAATAAATGGCCCTTTCTCCTTCCACCTGAGAATGGAGGTGGCTCACAAGGTTCTACCCTCGGTCCTCTTATCCAGATGTACATTCTCCTTGGGCAATGACATCCAAATTCAGAGCTTTAACCAGTTCCTCCATTTCGATGGCTCCCAAATCGAGACTCTCTCCAGTTCTCATCTCCTTTCAAAGTCACTTTAACAGCCCATCTCCCTAAATGACTTCTAATCCCCTTCCATTCAATGATGTCCAGCAGCTAGTCTGTCTACTGATCTGAGTGTATCACTGCTTTTAAACTACAGTCTTCGAATGGCCCCTTCACCATCTGAACTCTGTGCAGCCTTCAACTTCCTTCATCCTGATCCTACCACAATCCAATCAGTTATCTAGCCTAATTGATTCTACCTCTGATGTGTGTGTGTGTGTGTGTGTGTGTGTGTGTGTGTGTGTGTACATACATAACATCCTCCTTCTCTAAATCAGACACTCTCAAATGTGGCAAAAAGAGATTATTCACTAGTGATTATTATTAGAGTAGCAGGATAAAATTACATCCTGCTACTCCAATAATAAGCCAAACTACAGCATGAACAGTGTCAGAGCCGGGAGGGTCACTTAATCAAAAAAGGTTAATTGTGAGGAAAAATCAGCAACAGGAGGGCCCACAGGATGCCCATAATTTCAGAAGGCAGCAGCAACAAACCAGAAGAGAGAGAGAGAAGGTATCGGAGAGGCCAACTGAAAACCAGCTGGGACTGCTGAGGATGCAAGGTCCTGGGAAGGGAGGAGAGCATCCGCCTTGCAAGGCAGAAAGACACACTGCCCGAGAGACAGAAATGGCGAGAGATGGTCAGAGTGGAACCTCCCTGAGGAAGCCCAGCAAAGGGGCACACGTTTGCTGAAAGGGAGAGAGCGGTGTTCTTTAAAAGTGGGGAGAGTTTACAGTAGTCCCTGAGAGAAATCCACTGGGATTCCAACGGAAGTTGGAATACAGTCTGCCAAGTAGGGAACAGTATGACCATGCTCTAGGAGTAGCCACACCTAGAAAGGATAGTGATTTGGGGGTGGGAGATGGGGACAAAGGCTACTTACATGCTTCAAGTGTAGGTGTGCCTGGCTGGCAATGTCATATACCACATCTCTTATATTTTTATCTTGGTTCTTCCGTAGAAAATCCTCTTGTGAAACACCATGCTGTGTTGAAAAATATTGTATTAGCAATTAAAAAGCATACTTAAAACTAACTTAGTGTGTCTGTGTCTCTCTCTCTCTCTCTCTCTCTCTCTCTCTCTCTTCCCCTCCCCCCCCTTCCTGGAAGAATATGCAACAGGATGGTAAACAACAATGGTTGCAGTATAGAACAAAAACACACAAGCAATAGTCCTAGCTGGTTTGGCTTAATGGATAGAGCTTTAGCCTGTGGACTGAAGAGTCCTGGGTTTGATTTCAGTCAAGAGCACATCCAAGTTGCAGGCTTGATTCCCAGTAGGGGATGTGCAAGAGACTGCCAATCAATGATTCTCATCATTGATGTTTCTCTCTCCCTCTCCCTTCCTCTCTGAAATCAAAACTATATTTTTTAAAAATATACAAGCAAGAAAACATATAAGACGTTTTAAAAGCACAGACAATAATGAATCTCATACAGAAAATAAAAGTTCTCATAAAGAATATTCTTGTCTTAAGGATTTTTTTCCTCCTCTTAAATAAAGAACAGGCTGGCCCTGGCCAGGTAGCTCAGTTGGTTGGAGCCTCTTCCCAATATGCCAAGGTTGCAGGTTTGATCCCCGGTCAGGGCACATACAAGAATCAGCCAATGAGTGCTTAAGTAAGTGAAACAACAAACCAATATTTCTTTCTCTTTGCCTCTCTTTCTTCTCTCCTCAATTAAAAAAATAAAACAAAGTGAAAAAGAACAGGCTAAGCTACAGTAGGAATAATTACTGTAATTGCTTGGAAGGGAGTAAGCGTCCACAGGAGGCTACACAAGTGAGGTTCTCCGGATTTTCTTACTCACAGCTCCACCAGAGAACTAAAATGCCTGACTGACAAAAATTCTCACTCGATAACCAAGGAGCCAAAAAGAAATATGCATTCATTTCAAAGCAGTGACTTGAAGAGACTAAGCAAAGAGCCAAGAAATAACATCCTCCCCATATTCCTGAGGAAAATTATTCAAGTGCACAAACAACAGCCTTACCAGCATGCAGATGTCCATGGGAAGGAACACCCTCCTCCTGCTGCTGTGATAGGGCGTGGCTCTCAAGCAGGTGACAATGCCTTGTGCCTTTCCGATGTGACTGGCAGCATGATCTGCATGAAGATCCCTTATACCTATGATTGTGAAAAGTAATCAATAGGGCTGCTCTTCAAATGCATACGTCCACAAAAATAGCAAAGAGAAATCACCTACACAGATCAAACTAATAGTTTATCCTAATGCTTTCAACATCTGCTAAACAAGCTAAAACAAGCTAACTGCTAAGCAGGTTTCTGAACTTGAACTTTTAAACCAGTTTTCCTCAGACGGCATCACACTAAGAGCACATTTGGAATTGTAATCAGCTATCATGGAAAAACATCACAAGTCTTTCCTTTCTTCTCAATGTCCATACGACCTCACTTTAAGTGTGCTCGGCGCTTTGCTCTTTGCTCCCTCCTTTCACTGTGCTGGCAAACATATCACCGAATGTGCAGGCAGACCAGGCCTGGGAAACGCAATATGCATAGGATGAAATAACATTTATTCCTCTAGGGTGACATAAAAATATATTACTTTCTTCAAATGGCTGTTATTGTCCTCATGCCAAGCAATTTCCTCATTACAATCCTCATTACAATCAGACCTTCCCAGCTTAGAGGCTTAAAAAACCATCAGCCCTGGCATATTTGGCTCAGAGGTTGGAACGTCGGCCTGTGACCAAAAGATCTCGGGTTCGATTCCTCGTCAGGGAATGTGTGGGAGGCAACCAATCGATGTGCCTCTTTTACATCAATTTTCTCTCTCTCTCTCTCTCTCTCTCTCTCTCTCTCTCTCTCTCTCTCTCTCTCTCTCTCTCTCTGTCTTTCCCCTTCCCTTCCACTCTCTCTCAAAAAAAAAAAAAAAAAAAAAAAAAAAATCAATGGAAAAAAATATTTTCAGGTGAGAATTAACTAATATAAAATAAAATAATAAAATAAACATCAGCAATTACCAGATTATTAATTATGATATTCCCCTGAGATAAAGTACTTTTAAAAAATATACTTTTATTGATTATAGAGAGGAAGAGAGATAGAAGCATTAATGATGAGAGAGAATCACCGATTAGCTGCCTCCTGCACACTCCCCATTGGGGACTGAGCCTGCAACCTGGGGATGTGCCCCTGACCGAATCAAACCTGCAGGCTAACGCTCTATCCACTGAGCCAAACCGGCCATGGTTAAAGTATTTTTATTAGAACCTAAGTACTGTGATTAGTCTGTACTCCAAAGACAGACATACATTCCCCTTCTTGCTCAAAATAAATAAATAAATTATATATATATATATATATATATATATATATATATATATATATGTGTGTGTGTGTGTATGTGTGTGTGTGTGTGTGTGTATGGCTTTTTCTTTACAAATGATGAAAAAAAAAAAGCCATTGTTAAATTGGTTAGATTGTAAAATTATGAAAGCATGAAGCCTAAAACGTATTTTATTCAGAAAGAGAAGTATGAAATTAAAAAAACACACACAACTTACCCAATATTTCTAGTGTTAAATAAAGAAGAGAACTCTGTGTGTTTTCAGCATAATTTTCCAGTTCCTGGATATTACGATATGCTTTGTCATCCAAATTTTTTTCCTATAATCAAACAAAAGTATTATTATTCCATTAAATAGGAAAGCTATCTCTGTCTTAAGTTCTCCAATTTTCTTAATGTCATAAAACCAGGACATCTGAAAAAATGATTTTCTTAGTGCTAATTAACTCTATAGGTCAAATGAGCAATTTTTCTTAATGTTGAAGCCACCATCTCATTTTGGCTTATATTATTATTACTATAGCTTATGGTTATTCATAGATTATATCCACATAAAGTTAAGTAAACTTGCACTGAAATGGCAACAGTGCATTATAAGCATCAGGCCAATGAGGACACTGAGCCAACAATATATCAGGAAGATCACACAGGTCAGTGGTTGGCAAACCGCGGCTCTCAAGCCACATGCAGCTCATGAGCCACGGTTTGCCGCTCTATTGACTAATGAGTTTGCCGACCACTGGCTCAGGTCATTGAGCAATTTGTGGAAACTAGAATAGAACTCAGTTCTAAGAACTTAGCATAGGATTCCATCCACTAGAACCATCAAACTTTCCTTATTCCCTGTACTCTTTGGACAGAGATCTAAATACTGGGTGTAGATAAAGGTATGTGTATGACTACTCGAATTCTGATGAAAAATTAAAGATTAAAAAGAAAGAAAAATTTAAGACTGGAGCAATTTCAACTTACTCTTTCATCAATGATTTTCATAAGCCATCTTTTAGTCAGATTATGTCTTTTGACAGCCTAAAAAAAAGAAGAGTATTATGAATTTTTAGAAAGCACTAGAAATGACTTCTGCAGACCTGTATAAAATAAACAAACCAAATGCAAAACTTGGTAAGGGAACATTTGTAATAACTCACCACAAAAGAAAAAGAAAGAAAGAAAGAAAGAAAGAAAGAAAGAAAGAAAGAAAGAAAGAAAGAACAAAAAAACCCAGCTGTATTAAAGAAATACCAGGAAAAAAGAAAATGTCCCTAGAAAATATTTCCAAGTAAAGATAATATGTCTAAAACTTTTCCACTAATTTGTCTTTTTTATTATACTATTAGTAATTTAATGATTGCACTTCCAAAGAAAAACAAAAATTAAATACCCAAGCTACTGTTATATGATGTACCTGATGTCTATGCTTACTTATTACATTCAAACTTCTTTCCATAGGATGAAGATTCTAATTAATAAAAATAACTACTTATCCAAAAGGAGAAGAGTAACTCAAACTCCAGAGGAAATATCTGCAAGGCACAGTGCTACTTTAGCCAGTAAAGACACTCCAGTAGAAAAGAGCACACCTGAGGCCACATCTCAGTCTCTAAAAGCATTTCTCCCAAGAAACGGGTCCAGAGAAATGAGCAATTTCCAGAGTTGGGCAAAGGAGAGTTAATATGCTTCCTAGAGTATCTTATTGTTCCAGAAAATAGAAAACACTCAAAAAAATTAGGGGAGACAGTTAAAAGAACCTCCTACTATCCAAATCTGGGACCATTTGAGCATCAAAATAATTAAGTTTAGTAATGAACTATAGAATACTGAAAAAAAAAATAGGATTTCATGAGTTTATAATAATAATTAATAGACAAATAAATAAATATAGGAGAGCCATGGCTGGTTTGGCGCAATGGATAGAGCGTCGACCTGCGGACTGAGAGGTCCCAAGTTCGATTCCGGTTAAGGGCATGTACCTCAGTTGCAGGCACATCCCCAGTGGGGGCTGTGCAGGAGGCAGCTGGTCGATGTTTCTCTCTCACTGATGTTTCTAACTCTCTATCCCTCTCCCTTCATCTCTATAAAATATCAATAAAAGATATTTTAAAAAATAAAATAAAATAAAATAAATATGAGAGTGGGATATCCTGGTTACTGCCAAGTGGTAAATGTACTCAGAGTATTAGAATTAGAAAATGAACATTTTGCAATCATAATAGCAAAGACTGAATCAGACAAGAACCATAAATGAATGCTACGCTTCAGGGTAAATTAATGAGAAATACTAGGATATTTGCATTGTCTTATAGTTGCCAGGAGAATTATAATTATACAGTGAGCAAAACAGGCATCATCTTGACTGGATGATAAAAATTAACAATGTCTATAAGGTACAGATGTACAAAATATGCCTCCAGTCCTAACTGGTTTGGCTCAGTGGATAGAGCATCAGTCTGCAGACTGAAAGGTCCCAGGTTCAATTCCGGTCAAGGGAATGTACCTTGATAGCGGGCACATCACCAGTAGGGGGTGTGCAGGAGGCAGCTGATTGATGTTTCTCTCTCATCGATGTTTCTAACTATCTATCTCCCTTCATCTCTGTAAAAATCAATAAAATATTTTTAAAAATATATGCCTCCAGATATGACACCCTAAGAAAAAGACATTGTCTGTGCAGTATTATGGCCAAGAATGCACAACCTGAGATAACATCAGATAAATCCAAAATGAGTAATATTCTATTAAAAACAATTGGAGGGGCTATCTTCTTCAAAAAGGTAACGTCATAGAAAAGAAAAGAAGGCTGTGGAAATATTCCAGGTTAAAATAGGCTTACCAGATAAGACAAATACTACCTGACCTTAGACTGGAACCTATACTGGAGGGGAGAAACATACAGTGGACATTATTGAATCAACTGGCAAAACTAGAATATTAGTGGAAAATTAGATAAAAAATGTTGTATCAAAGTTAAATTTACTAAAGTCATCACTGTTTTGGTTATGTAATAGAATGTCCCTATTCTTAGGAAATACTCACTAAAGTATTTAAGGATAAAGGGCCACAATGTATATAACTTACACTAAAAAATGATTCAGAAAAAAAATAGAGAACAAGTTCATGCACCCACGTGAGTGAACAGTACAAATGATTAACAAATGGGATAAAATGTTTTAAAATGTTAACACGTAAATCTGGGTAAAGGGTATAGAGGTGTTCTTATACTGGAAACTTTTCTGAAAGTTTGATACATTTTAAAAACATTGTTTTCCTGCCAAATCAATACTAACTATGATATATTTTCACTATAGTAATAGTAGTAACACATAAAGTCTTTGGAATATCCCATATTTCAACTAAGACTCTAAGATGTCATTGATAACAAAATGTCAAGGCCAGCCAGCATGCTCCTCAATACGCACAGGGTGAAAGCATGGAGACCAGAACTCACAGGAACCTAAAAGAAGCTAACAGGCTGCACACAGTCGGCTCCCAAGTTCCCTCAGCACTGCTCCTGTTACACAACAGGACTCCCTCTAGCCTCTGTCCACAGCCCAGGAACCAGCGGGGGTTCCTCAGTCTTTACAGAGTCCTGCTCTTGTTTGATTTGGTACATGTCTGAGTGGGGCAGGGCATGTCTGATCTTTGTAGCCATGCCATCAAACACCATTCCTGGGACCCAAACGTACTAACTGTTTAACCACTGAGAAGTCAATTTTCTCAAGGATGAAGTTATAATGGCTGCACTTCCTTGACCACAAAATATAGTTCTTGTAGCTCATTCTGAGGGAAATCCGAGATCAAGGTAAAAAACAACTTATCTGTAGAAAGTTGAAAAGCAGCTGAATAAAGCATTAAGACTTTGAAAACAGAAGTCGAACAGAATAAAAACCTTGGCTAAAAACATACATTTAAATTACAATATTAATAAACAGAAAAATGGAGGAACCCGTATGAAATGTCTGAGAAATTATAGATATTCAACTACTTTGTACTCTAAAAGCACCAATGATGTCCTAGCCGGTTTGGCTCAGTGGATAGAGCGTTAGCCTGCGGACTCAAGGGTCCCAGGTTCGATTCCGGTCAAGGGCATGTACCTTGGTTGCGGGCACATCCCCAGCAGGGAGTGTGCAGGAGGCAGCTGATCAATGTTTCTCTCTCATCGATGTTTCTAACTCTCTATCCCTCTCCCTTCCTCTCTGCAAAAAATCAACGAAAAGTTAAAAGAAAATAATAAAAGCACCAATGAGAGTGCAGCAGGAGCGTGCCCTCCGACAACAGTCACTGTTTCTCTACTTAGCTCTTAAGGAACCTGAGACTCTTGGAAGAACCTAAGGGAGGCGTTACTGGACGATGGTGATATTCTGCTCCTGCAGAATGAGGAGGTGAAGAACATACAAGGAGGCAAAGGCTCTGAGCACTACCTGCTCCTTTCAAACATCCGTATTAACCTTCAGCACTGGTCTTACAAAAGAGCTGGCCAACATTGGTCATCAAAATTTAGGCTGCTATTATAAAACTGGACAAATGGGCACACATTTAAACATTCTGTAATTCAGATGTGTCTTTTGTTTAAGAAAAGCCAAAGCAAGATTCATTTGTGTTAAAAGAATTTTGACTCTTCATGATATTTCCTAAGGCCAGAACTTTTAATGCAAGTCTTAGCATAAACCTCTACTGCAGTCAGGTTTGCGTATAAAATAATAACAGCCTTAGCCAGTTAGCCTGTAGCTACAGTGTCGGCCTGCGGCCTGAAGGGTCCTGGGTTCAATTCTGGTCAAGGGCTCATGCCCGAGTTGCTGGCTCAATCTCCCTGCAGGGGGCAGCCGATCAATGATTCTCTCTCATCATTGATGTTTCTCTCTTTCCTTTTCCCTTCCTCTCTGAAATCAATAACTATGTATTTAAATAATAATAATCAGCAGAAAGTTTCTGGATTTTAGAGAAACTTTTCTCTAAACTGAGTCACCTAGGTTGAAATTACTGAAGTGGGACGAACAGAGGTGAACACTAATCTAATACTCACAGCTTCCCATCCACTTTTTCTTCAGTCCCTGCCGGAGGGGCCTGGCTCTCCATCCTTACGGGGCTCTGTGAAGTCAACCTGGGCCCAGAGACGGGGCTGCCTCTGCTGGCGCAGACCTGAGGAGAGGCGCACCGCTGTCAGGCCTGTGCGTGGCTGCTGTCACAGGAACTGTTTCTTGGCCCCCACTCATCGTATGACAATGGGACACAGGTCAGTGGCAAGAGCACCGACTTCCCTTCCTCGGTTCATAACTTAGCATATTTCTAAACTGTGCACAGCTGTTTATGAATGAGGTTTCATACAGCTGCTTTAATGTAAAACTAAATATTACATACATCTATCTATACAAATAATTTTCTAGCCCTTCAGTTTCTATTCTGTAATATCTAAAATCCATCAATGAATAGGCAATTCTATCAAACTAGAAAGGCAGTCTGTGTGTAGACAATATTGAGAGCACGTCTCCCTTCAGAGACAGAACAGGGTATTTACCTGCCATTGCTTCAAATATGTAGGGTTTAAATTCCGCAACCAAATATGTGGAAAATAATGTATAACAAAAAGTGACCAGATCCCTCTTTTCCCCTTTAATAAAGAAATACATCAAAAATCTGTGCAAATTATTAGTGGATAATTTTAAATTCTTCTGCCCAAACTAACATGTATCAGAACATTACATGAGCCTAAGAATAATTTAGGACAGACTGCCCATCGCTATTATCCAAATTATATGCATCAAGAATATGCTCAAATTGCCGAAGCCGGTTTGGCTCAGTGGATAGAGCGTCGGTCTGCGGACTGAAAGGTCCCAGGTTCAATTCCGGTCAAGGGCATGTACACTGGTTGCAGGCACGTCCCCGGTGGGGGATGTGCAAGAGGCAGCTGGTCGATGTTTCTCTCTCATCGGTGTTACTAGCTCTTTATCTCTCTCCCTTCCTCCTCTCCGTGAAATATCAATAAAATATATATATAAAAAATTTTAAAAAGCCGAAACTGGTTTGGCTCAGTGGATAGAGTGTCAGCTTGGGGACTGAAAGGTCCCGGGTTCAATTCTGGTCAAGGGCATGTACCTTGGTTGCAGGCACATCCCCAGTAGGGGGTGTGCAAGAGACAGCTGATCGATGACTCTCTCTCATCAATACTTCTATCTCTCTCCCTCTCTGTACAAAAATCAATAAAATATATTTTAAAAAATAAATTAAAATAAATAAATAAATAAATAAATAAAAATATGCTCAAATAAAATTCTTACAATTTTTTTTACCTTCCACAGTTCAAAGGCCACAGGCTGATGTGGTGGATTGTCACTGTATATGTCATCCACAGTTTTCTTCCAAAACTGCATTCGCATCAGTCCAATTGTTTTCTCAGAAACTGAATCCTTCACCTATAAATAGGGTTTAAAAACTTTAATAAATGCACTGTTTACAGTCTAAAATATCAATATTTATGACTACATAATCACATAATTCAGCCAAAAACAAAGTATAATTCTATATAATTATTTTAATTTTTTCCTTAAAGTTAAACTGTTGTCATTATGAACTTTTTTAAAAATATATTTTATTGATTTTTTACAGAGAGGAAGACAGAGGGATAGAGAGTTAGAAATATCGATGAGAGAGAAATATCAATCAGCTGCCTCTTGCAGACCTCCTACTGGGGATGTGCCCGCAATGCCCTTGACCAGAATCGAACCCAGGACCTTTCAGCCCACAGGCCTAACCGGTTAGGGCTCAATTATTTAAAAGTATCTAGCTGATACTTTGCCCCATCCTGGTGATTCCCTGAAACCTGGCCAACTTTTCAGCCCACTGAAATTGCTCTAACCACTGAGCACATCAGCCAGCGCTGTCCATTCATCTCCTGATGGGCACTTAAGTTGCTTCCATATCCTGCCTATAATGTTGCAGTGAACATAGGATGCATATGTCTTTTCGTTTTGGGTTTCTTGCGATAAATACAAATGTGCAATGTTAAGTGCATAGTTTTACAATATCCTTAGAAAAATAAATTCCAGAATGTTATTTCCAGAAACAGCAAGTTCTTTGGCTAGTTTTATTTTTGGAATTGAATTGTTAAGCATAAATAGGAAAAAAAAAAAATCACCAGTAGAGACCTTAAACACATCTAACATATAAGAATTACAATTATATTTCTTTTTTGTTCCGCATTAAACACGTTATATCAACATTTTTGCAAATAATTTTAAAGGAATTTTAATACCAGCCTGAGCCAGTTCCACATTGAAGGCTCTCAGTGCAAAAGCAGAGCTTCTGGATTCTGTAGGAAGCAGTAGGGAGCATAAATAACCTTCATAATCTCGTTTCCTGTGACAAATAGGCAAGATTAATAATTTAAAAAGACAATTACTTTTGACTTCCAAACTGCACACAAAAAAATACCAAGCAGAATTACCTAAAAATAATGAGGCTTCAAGTCAAAAAAAGGCCTGAAATTTCTTATATTCTATACCAGTTTCTCCCAAAGTTACTAAAAATGTATCGGCCCACAATCCCAGACCAGTTAAAAATAAGAAATAATTAATCTCCATTAATTTATTTTGACTTATATAGTACTTATAATTTTAATTGTTTCACAACCACTTTGTAAGAATTCAAATGAGTTACCAAAGTAGTTCCAGCAAGTCCAGGTATGAACTCGCCGTTTTTAATACATACCTAGATAAATAAACAGATAAGGCATAAAGACAGAAAACAATAGAGGGTGTGGGGGTGCTTGCACGTATGCACAGCCACTAGCACATCCTGTACGTATGTTTCCCAGCAATACTGCTGAGCGAGCCTGGCAGCAATGCCACTCCTCCCACGTTGGCCCCAGGATCAGTGAACACACCCGACACCAAGATCTTGGTTTCTAAATACCTTGCTCCACTGAAAACAAACACACAAATAAACGCTAGGGGTCCTTGGAGCAAAGACTGACTCCAGAACTGGGGCAGGGAAAATACAAGGTAAGCCTGAAACATCTTCTTGAGCAGAAAGAAACGTTCAAAGAATGAAGGGGTTTGTCAAAAGGACAAAGAAATGGACACGATCGGGTTCCCTTTGGCCACGTCTGGACAATTTGAGCATCAAGACATAAGGGCAGTTAACAGGCTGTAACAGGGCCCCAGGAGCCTCTCTCTATCAATAGAAATGAAAGGATAAATAGCCCTGGCTGGTGTGGTTCAGCGGTTATGAGCATCAGCCTAGGCTCGGGAGGACTGTGAGCTCAATTCCAGGTCAAGGGCATGTACTAGTACCTGGGTTGTAGGTTCGATCCCCAGCCCCACTCGGCGTACATGCAGGAGGCGGCAACTAATAGATGTCTCTCTCTCTCAGATCCATCTCTCTCTCTCTCTTTCTCTCTCTCTCCTCCCTTCTTCCCTCTCTTCCACTCTCTCAATAAATCAATGGGAAAAAATATCCTTAAGAGTGAGGGTTAATAACAACAAAAAAGAATAAAGAGGAGCCGAAACCGGTTTGGCTCAGTGGATAGAGCGTCAGCCTGCGGACTGAAACGTCCCAGGTTCGATTCAGGTCAAGGGCTAACCCTAACCCCGCCCGCCCCCCGCCCCCGGCCTCCCCGGGGCCCCCGCCCGCCCCCCGCCCCGGCCTCCGCGGCCCCCGCCCGCCCCCCGCCCCGGCCTCCGCGGCGCCCCCGCCCGCCCCCCGCTCCGGCCTCCCCGGGGCCCCCGCCCGCCCCCCGCCCCCCGCCCGGCCTCCGCGGCGCCGGGCCGCTCACCGCAGCAGCTCCAGGCAGTAGCGCTCAGCGCCCGCGCCGCCCGGCCCGCTGGCTGCAGCCACGCTCCGCCCCGAGCCCGCAGGCCCCGGGAGCCGCCGCCCGCGCGCCCACACGCCGGGCCCGCCGGGCCGCAGCGGGCCGCAGGCCCAGCCCAGCATGGAGGCCGCCATGACACGCACGCCGCGTGCCCTTCGACCCCGCGCCGGCGGCCCACGGCGACGCCAGGCCACGCCCCCGGCCAGCCCCGCGCGCTCCTCGCAGCGGCCGGAAGCGGCGCCGGGACGTCGTCCCTCGGAGAACCGGCAGGTGGCGCTGTGGTTCTCCCTACACCCGGCCGCCCTCCGCTCCCTGCTGCTGGCTTCCAGGAAAGCTCTGCGTGAATGCAACCCATCCTGCAGCCCCCACACACCCCTGCTCCCCTCTAGGTCCTTCGAAAGATGCATTTACCCAGGCGGGACGATAGAGGATATTTGGACAGATGACTAGCTTGATGTATAACTTTGAAATAGGTATTTCCACAGTAGGTGAGCCTCCTTTGGTATTCTCTCATCCTCAGGCCCCTCAACTATTAAGAGTTGAGAGTCTCGTTGCCATGATCTGACCTCGTGCAAGCCAGCAGCTGCCTGCATCTGGATCCCCATTGGCTCCCGAATCGCCTAGACCGGTGGTCGGCAAGCTCATCAGTCAACAGAGCCAAATGCCAACAGCACAACGGTTGAAATTTCTTTTTTGAGAGCCACATTTTTTAAACTTAAACTATATGGGTAGGTACTTTGTTACTAACTTAATTAGGGCACTGTGAAATCTGAAATTAGACTCACGGCTAGACCTTACTATTTAATGCTTACAGCAGCACATGGCCCAGTACTGCTATAGGTCATGGCACAAAAATGGCGAAGGACCCCTTCCTGTCTTGCCTCTTGCCCTTTTGTCCCCTCATGTGGAACTTGAGTAGGTCTTGGTGAACATGCAGGCGAGGAAGAGGCACTGAGGACTCCAAAGCGTTCCCCCGGGGCGGTGAGAAGGGGGACACAGTCCAGGTACGTAGAGAGAGTCCGGAGAGGAGTCCGTTCGGTTTGGTTTTTCAGACATGTGACCTTTGAAGTAATGGCAAGAGTGTTGACCATGTTCTAGGGATTCTTCATTCAGTTTCGCAGCAGCCATAGTCAGTGTAGGGTGAGGCGTCCGAGTTTAGCACAAAAAGTCCTGCACCCCAGAAAACCCCCCCGACTGGGGCTGTCTCTGTGCTGGGACGATGGCTGTCATCCCCATGTTACAGAGAAAGGGGAAGTCATTTGCCCAAAGTCACACAGCTGGTAACTGACAGTGGCGGGTGTTTTTTTGTGTTTTGTGTTTTTAAAAAAATATATTTTATTGATTTTTTACAGAGAGGAAGGGAGAGGGATAGAGAACTAGAAACGTGGATGAGAGAGAAACATCGACCAGCTGCCTCCCGCACCCCCCTCCCCCCCACTGGGGATGTGCCTGCAACCAAGCTCCATGCCCCTTGACCGGAATCGAACCTGGGACCCTTCAGTCCGCAGGCTGACGCTCTATCCACTGAGCCATACCGGTTTCGGTGACAGTGGCAGGTTTTACAACGAGGAAGGCTGCTTCAGAACTCAGCTGCTTCAGCGCTGTACAGTGTGCGAGGGCAGCCGTGGCCACTTCTCTCCTCACAGTTCTGAAGGCCCATATCTGGCCTGGAAATCAGCAGAAGTGATTTCCTCTGAGGCCTCTTGCCTCGGCTGCCTTCTCCCTGTGTCCTCACATGCTCTCCCCTCCATGAGTGTATGTGTCATAGTGGATAAGGGCCTACCCTGATGACCTCAGGTTACCTAATTGCGTCTTTAAAGGCTCCATTTCTGAATAACAGTCATATTCTACGGTACTGAAGGTTAGGATTTCAACATAAGAAAGGGGAGGGGGGGGGGAAGAGGCACAATTTAGTCCACAACAACTCCTATGTTTTGCTGCCAGGCAAAGGGTAGGATTAGTGTTCCATCGGAGGGAGTGGCATGTGCAAAAGCCCTGCATCGGTAAAGGGTTCAGCACATTCAAAGAACAGAGAGAGAGAGAGGGGGGGGGGGAGAGATAAGAGAGAGAGAGAGAGAGAGAGAGAGAGAGAGATGAGAGAGAGAGGAAGAGAGAGAGAGAGATGAGAGAGAGATAAGAGAGAGAGGGAGAGAGAGAGATAGATAGATGAGAGAGAGAGGGGGAGAGAGAGAGATGAGAGAGAGAGAGAGATAAGAGAGAGAGGGAGAGAGAAAGATAGATGAGAGAGAGAGAGATGAGAGAGAGAGATAGATGAGAGAGAGAGAGAGAGATGAGAGAGAGAGATAGATGAGAGAGAGAGAGATGAGAGAGAGAGAGAGATGAGAGAGAGAGATAAGAGAGAGAGGGGGAGAGAGAGAGAGAGAGAGATGAGAGAGGGAGAGAAAGAGAGAGAGAGAGACATTGATCAGTTCCCTCCAGTACGCACCCTGACTGGGAATCAAACCTGCAACATAGCTATGTGTCCTGACTGGACATGGAACCTGCAGCCTGTTGATGTACGTACGGGACGATGCCCCAACCCGCTAAGCCATCCAGTCAAGGCTCGCGATAAACATTTGAAGAGGATGCAGAAACCAGCAGGTGGGCTATGGGCTGCCTGGGCAGGAGTTATTGTGGCTTGGACTGGGATGGTGGCATTAGAGGTGAAAAAGAAAGGATAATAAAAAGAAAGGATAGGTCAGTATATAATTTGGAGGTTCACTTGCTGACGGATTGATGGTGTGGTGGGAAGAAGGTCATGAAAAAACAGAGAAGTAAGTGATGGTTCCTAGATGATGGCATAAGCAACTGGTGGAGCGAGGCTCTCTCTTTCACATTCCTGAGCTGAAGAATGTGAAGTCTTTATAGGGCATCTGAGGATATTGTGGTGCATGCTACTTTCCCAGCGATGGCCATGTAATTCCCCTTTGGCAGATCCTTAAGTACAGGCTGACACAGCCCTCGCCTCTCTCTCTGTGGCTGCCCTTGGTCTTTATTCTCTGACCTGACATGTTTGAATGGGCTTGCCTCCTTCGGAGGAATGTTCTTTTCATGTTTACAAAGTGTTCTCGGGTTTTGTCTCACGTTCTCCCGGATGACTTCTTCCTGGTACTCATGTGGACCAGGGCTTCCCTTCCCCAGTGCGTCCTGGGCTGGAAGATTGTAAACAAGGGCAGGGAGCTGCTCCTCGGAGCTCCCAGTGGTTATCAGATTGTCGCAACCAGGGCCCCGAGGCAGTTTCTGAGGGCTGGGGCTGCGTAGCTCACCCCCACCTTCCATTTCAACACCGAGGTCATTGAAGGAGAACCTGGTGGGGGAGCGTGGGACCTGGAAGAGTCTTTGGAGCTGATCAGTAAAAACACAGTCAGCTGGCTCCTTGTTGATGTGGGTCGTGCAGAACAATGCTCAGTGAAGCTTCCAGTCCTCTTGGAACGGCTTCCGAGGACACCAGCTACAGCACCCTTCCCACCTACCACGGGGAGAGAAAGAAAGCCATCACCCCCACCCCCACCCCCACCATCAGCCTGATGCCCCAGGACAGACTATTCTCCCTCTTGATTTCCTGCTGAGAGGACACACACACAGCTGTTTTTCCGGGGATCACGGTGGCTTGTGTGGAGCTGTGCTGTGTGTACGTGCTCCCCTCGGCTTTTGGCAACCCAGCAGCCCATGCCAACAAGGGGAAAAGGTTCGCTTGAGTCAGGAATGTAGTCTGTGGTCTGGGAACAGCTTTCCTGCGGAAAACGAACGGGTCCTTCCAGGGAAATGAGCAGCGTGGGTCTCTCAAAAAAGTACATTCTGAGTCACCACCCCAATTGCGTAATCAGAAGTCACACCTACAGCAGATTAAACATGTTTGCCACCAAAGGGCATTTTCATCGGGCAAACAAAAGACGGTCGGATCCTGCTGCTCCCACTTCCTGGAACGTCCTGTGTGCTGTATCTTCAAGGCGGCCGTTGGGCAAGACTCCCGACTCCCTGGCCTTTGACCGGCCACCTACTGCTCCACAGACTCCCAGGAGGGCCCTGGAGAGGGACAGCCAGGCAAGGGAACCCGAGCTTATTGCACTGTTTACACAAACCCCAGTGCTGAGCCCGTCTGGACGGCTTCGCAGGCAAAAAGAGACAAAGAAAGGCAAACCTCATAAAAAACGGTGAGACCCAAGACTAGATCCAAGTGGCAAAGCTTCAACCCAGAGCTTTCCTAGGACCGAGTGTGTCCTGATCACCAAGAGTCTTCATGCCCTTTCCCACTTCATTCATTTTTATTTTTTAATTATTTTAATTTTATATATATATTGATTTTTCACAGAGAGGAAGGGAGAGGGATAGAGAGCCAGAAACATCGATGAGAGAGAAACATCAACCAGCTGCCTCCTGCACACCCCTTACTGGGGATGAGTCCGCAACCAAGGTACATGCCCTTGACTGGAATCGAACCTGGGACCCTTCAGTCCGTAGACAACGCTCTATCCACTGAGCCAAACTGGTCTTGGCTGACTTCATTCATTTCTAGTCACCTCGTGAACCCCTCGTCAAATGCCTCCTCCTCTCTGGATTTTCCTCGGCCACAGCCCCCATCCAAGAAAAATGAATAATTCCTTCACGTGTGATCCTATCGCGATGTGTGTGTTTCTCGTTGATCACTTCCCTAGGTCTGACGGTGATGACCCGTGCAAATGGCCCTCTTCCCGGACTCCAAAGGTCGACTCTGGATTGCTCCCCTTTTCGCTGCCAGCGCCTGGCCCAGTGCCCAACATTGGGAAGCGTTGGGTGTATTGTTCTGAAAGCCGTGTTTTTGGGGCACTACCAACCAGGCACCTGGTTGTACAGTTTATGCTTGCACAAATGTGCCCGGCCAGGGGCACAGGTGGGACTGGTGTGGGCTGGTGTGGGGCTGTCTCTGAGGAAGGAGAGCCTTTCCCTTCACAAAGAGGCACGAACTTGCAAGGTTGCATGAGCCAGAAGAGGCACCTCCTAATTATTATAGCAACAAGATGCTATCTAGGTTTTCAGTCTTCCTGACTGGAAGAGCAAACCGGACCCAGCAAAATGGAAAGAACTTAAAGCTTGAAAGGAATAGTTATCTTTCTGAAAAGTTTTCAGTATTCATCCAAGAGTAATCTGATTTTAG